TTTTCGTATGACGGACAGAGACTCGGGATCCACAATCACGGTTCGTGATGTGGGATGTGTGACTCAAATCAGATGGTTATCCGATCATCATCAGATGGCCAGGTGTACGAGGAACGAGGACAATGTCGTCTAGATGATGCAACTACAAAGGTTAGGAATGTAGGTCGAAGAGATGAATGCAAGGAGCGACGGATGGAGCAAATGAATGGACGGATGAAGGTCCATCGGTTTAGTAAAGTGGGAAAGCCCTCCAGGGCCAACCATGCACTTCAGGAAGATAGATCGACGAGATCTATCTGTAGATGAAACTGCGAGAAGCAGAGGATCGAAAGATCCTGGTATATGTATGCATATCGGAGCTCAGTTGTAGAGCTCACAATCTGAACGAGAGAGAAAGAGGAAAACGAAACGAATAGCCAGTCTACTAGACAGTAGAGCTGGAAGGATATTGATTAAATTAGAGAAATTGTGCGTTCAAGTTCACACCTTTTCAACACTCGAAGGTTTTCGTTTTTACAATAGGGTTGAGGCTTGCATTAAGATCTTTTCTATCTTTTGCAAAATTGCCTTGCCCGACCTGCTAGCTTAAATCCCGGGAAGATCTTTGACATTTGAAACATCTTTGATTGATGCTTTGATGGCATCAAGCTGTCTGCGAAAACACATTTGTCCTCCCAGAACTACCAGTATGATTCGAGCCAAGCTACTACCGCTACTGTCACTCCTGGTGTGTCTGTCGCTTTCTTCAGTTCACTGCTTTACTACGGCTGGGCGTCGCTGTCACACCCGAAAACTGCCATTGACATCTTCGTCTCTCGAAGCGACGCGATCTCAAGTGCTATGTGCGGTGAGTGCCGCGTGGTGGATGCTCCTCTCAAGCCCGGCATCCGCTCTTCCCCAGTCGTATTCGACCAATGCTCGCAATTTGGATCGCTTGAGTGTGGGCGATTCCTCGGGTGGTTCCGTCTACGACAACAATCCGTCGCAACCGGCTGCTCGTCGACGCCGTGCCATGCAAGGCTGCAAAATTCCATCGGCTCGAGCCCAAGCCGCAAGTCTAAGTGGTGGCAAAGGCTCTTTATCGGAAAAGGAGTGCAATATCCAAGTGATGCAGGAGAGTCCCGATTTTATGTTGCAAGCATTGCAAGAGTTGGAATGTTCGACGTGTCCGTATGGAGTTCGGCAATGATGAATGATGCATGTGAAGGAATGAATGATTAATCAATGAATGACGTACCGGTATGGTAGTATACTAGTAATAGTTTTTGTAGCATGACTCTGATAGCTAGTAGCTAGCATATTGTTTCTCTTTTGAATGCATAGAAATCGTCAAGTGACTGTCCTCTTGATGTTTTTGCTTGCTGCTTTTCGGTACTACAGTAGCACCTGGCTAGGATATATCTATATGCTGCGAAACTGGTTGAATGAATCGAATCTGATCCACATGTATGTATCCTTACCAGGTACATGTCGTTCTTTGGTTACATATCTCTCTGTTCTCTCAATATTTTGATATCATTGTCTCTGCATGTCTATAGTCTGCTACCTGTATACGCATCGAAGTCAAGTTGATAGTCTATTCTCTGGCTACCGTAGTATAGCCCCACCCAAAGCTAACGGCATCTCGAACAACGATTGATTCTACTGTACTACTGCTACTTGTAGTTGTTTGAAGCTATACTACGGTATAGTAGTTGATAAGAATCAATCCCATTTTTCATTTCCTAAATAATGTTATATTCGTTTTGGATGATGTTTTCACACACTCTCTCATGACAGACATGAACCAGCACTACCTTTGTTTCTTCTTCTTCTTTCTTGTATTGCTTTTTGGTAAAATTATTATGACGCCCTCTTTTCTGCCGACACGACGTAATCGAATCCCAACTGGAGTCGTCCATTGGGGCTCCGTTTGGTAGCTTCCAGCGATTCGACTTCTAGATCATCGAGTACCTTTTTCATGGCTTCCGCCACTTCGGGTGTGGGAAAGAATCGGAATTTGGATCGTGCGACATTGATTTGTTTGACAATGGTGGCATGCCGGTAGAGAATGGGGAATTTGCTGGTGCGCAATAGTTTCATTTGTGTACTGGTCGTGTTAAATTGTCGATGAATCCAATCGACGGGGTATTCTCGATAACACCGATGTCCCGCGAGTAGAATACAGGCATCTCGAATCCGTCGGACCTTGCAAATGACATTGGCATCTCCTTCGACCGAATCGGGAATGGGTTCCAAGCCCACCACATACAAGCGTCCACCGGGTTTGAGCAAGGCGGCCAACTTGGGGAGCATACAGTCTTGTTGGTACGGCGAGAATCCGTCCATGGCTCCAATGAGATAATCGGCAAGAATGGTATCGTACTTTTGTTGTTCTAACGCGAGTGGCGTGTGTGGATGAAACCAATTACCAATAATGACGTTTCCCTTGTTCCCAATGCCTAGGGCATTGGCTTCTTCTTGTACATTGCGACGCATGGTTTCATCGGCGGTAATGGCCGTGTAGGTTGTCATGGGATGCGCGTGACCTCGTTCGGGTGTCAGTGTCGCCATCCAACGGAGCGAATGCAGACCCGTGCCGGCATCCAGGAAAGATCCAAACGGTTTTCCACCTTGTTGCTTTTCAATAGCGCCAAAGAGCGCGTCGTTCTTGCCAAATACCAAACGAGACATGGCGTCGGCACTGCACTGCTGATTATTGTTGTTGTTAGTGGCACCAGTAGTAGTAGTAGCAGCAGCAGCAGCCGTGCCGCCCGTGTTGTTGTTGGTGGGGGACGTTGACGTTTGCATGGCGTCGGACATTGTCAATATAGTAATAGTCAACAATAAGATAAAGAAAAGAAGAAGAGTAGGTGTCGTGCGGAGCATGCAGACAATCTAATCTAATCAACAGCTTAGTAGAACTGTACTAGGAATAAGAAGCTATGGAGAGGTACAAGCTCCCTCAAAGTAGGCAAGCTTATTGAGAGAGACTTATTCCGTCAATGCTACCGTTATGGATCTTTGGCTTTTTGGCTTCTTCTGTGGTGCTGCAATGGCCGCAGTTGCTGTCGCCAGCGTCGGAATCTGTGAATTGAGAAGGTGAGCGACCTTTTACGTACGGAGTGACAGTCTGGCTCGGGACTTGCAAAGGTCACAAAAGCCGAGACCATCCCAAAGCCGTGAAGACAGAGAGTTTTCGTCGTTGTTGGCTGTCTTTGCCATCTATCTTTGCCATAATACCAGTAGGCTCTATTATTTGTTATCTGAGGCTACTAGTAGCTAGCCATAGCGAGGCAATAGATAGATCGAAGTCTGCTCTACTAGTAGTCCAGCTAACTAGACAGTTCGAACGACAGCCTCAGACAGCTTCTAGAAAAGAATATGCAATGACTAGCTAGATGAATTATTGTTTTTAATGTTAAAAAGATGCCATAGACACTCAAAAAGCTGCCTAACTAAAATGCCCCTGCTTCGGCCAGCTCCAAATCTTCAGCAGCCATGACATCATAGACACACTGGTCCTTCAAGTCTCCCCAGTGTTCACAAACTTTCTCTGCAGCTTCCATGGAAATGGTGGATTCACCCAGACGGCGGCGTCCTTCTCTTTCAGGGCCAGGCATAGTGCATTGGACTGGGAACTGGGGGAATCTGTTTGTCTGGAAGAGCTTGGGTTCGGTATCAAGGACTTGCCATTCATTGCCAAACGCATCAGGATCAGTCAAGACAGTTCCATTTCGGGACAGCAACTTGCCAGTTCCAAACTCTCCCAAGAGACCCTGGCTGCCACTATACTCGTCAAAGCTGGCACCCACAGTCTTGACACTGACCAGGTCCTTGAAAGATTGAATAACAATCTGCTTTCCTTCCCCAAGCTCAATAGTGAAAATATCTTGCTTGGAATTGACCTTCTTGTGGGTGATGGGGTACTTGTCATCCATCTTTTCAAGCTCTGCATTGGAGACGCCATCCAACATGTAGTTACCATATTCACCAACCTCCAAGACGCTGTCTCCAATTTGAACAGCAGCAGACTCAATGAAAGAGTACTGGTAGCGAGCCTTGGTTCGAATGTGGATCGCCAATCCAGTTCCATGTCCAAACTTGGGGCTGTCGATAAAGACCAAGTCACATTCTCCATGGAAATCAAACCACTCTCCAACCCAAGTCTTGAAGTGAGGGTCGCCTGTGCCAGCTCCATCAGAACAAGGTGTGAGGGTCACAGACCATGACACAAGTGTTCCTGTGTCAGCACCATCATCATCATTGATGACAAGTGACCAGTAACCTGTGGAAGGGTATCCGTTGAATCTAGAGAGAGGCTCTTCTGGTTTTGTATCAATGCCTGGAGTATCACAGACAGGATGACTATTAATCCAATCATCGGATACAGCACCATCAATTTCATTATTGCTTTGATCATCAAAAATGACATGAAGGTCATCACTGTCACCACAATCATCGTGTGTCAGTTTAATGAGAGGATCAGTGATTCCCATTGGTGCATCAAGGCTGAGGTCAATGTCCAAGTCATTACTCCAAGTGTGTAAGATGTTTACCTCAACATCAACATCACATATCGTAAAGGAAGCATCCACGAAAATGTTAGAGACGGTTGGTCCTAAGGTTGTTGCGGGATCCAGTGGAATTCGTAAGTTACTGTTGGCAGCATCCGACGTGTACGTAACAGGTGTGGAAGCTTTGGTGGGAGACAGGTTGCCAAGGAGGCCAAGAGCAACGAGAGATAGCTTGGTGAACATTGTGTGTGTGTGATGAAATCAACAAAGTAGTACAGTCGAAGTGGTAGTTGTTGTCGTTGTAGGGCTGTTGTAGTTGTTTGTTGTTCCTTGGTTCCTTCTGTTTTTGAAGTTTCGACTTCAAATAAATTGTGAGAGGACCAGAACAAAGATGGGCAACGCACCTTGATAAAAGTGTGTTGGTTAATGGATGGCTTGAACAAGTTAGTCTTCGCTTTCCTTCACAAGCGTCTGAAGAAGTTAAGAAGGCATGGCTGTACTAGTATGATACAATCTGGATGATACTACCAGGTACTCAAGGACAGCCATGGAGTATTCCCGTCCAAAGTCTGCATATGCGCCTGGAACCTGGAACCATAAATCCTTGCCTGGTAACTCTGAGTACATCATGCGTGCTGTGAGCTGTGAGTTGTGAGTTGTACAGTACCGGTACGGTGGGCCCCTTTCGTGAATGAGTTGCCATTACCGCTTGCCGTTTGGAGTCATTGGCTTACGGTATTAATAAAATAGGCCCCCACGGTAAGACAACTTACTTTTCGTGCATTTCATTCCTCGACGGATCCTGACAAATCCGAATGCCCTGTCCTTCTAAGTAAGTTCTCATTGAGCATCTCAAATTCTTTCACGGATTCAATTGTTGATTACGTCCTTGGATACCGGTACGACAACTTTATGAGTGTTCCTGTGTTCCTTACAGAAATGAGTGCGTACTCATGGCTCAATAGTTCCGGTATGTATCATGTTACTGAGTACCAACAGTTGTAACTGACTTTACCGGATCGAAATGATCTAGGCAATTGTGCCGTTCTGGAATCTGGAACCGTCTCATTTTTTCAATTTCTGTGAACCACGTGGCTTGGTTGGTATTTACTGTTTATTCCTTACTGCCATGAGGTCAGTAAAAGGAGCAGTAATGGCAGTAATGCAGTAATTCCTCAGTAGCAGTAATCATATACAGTAATTTAGAGCCAATTGGAGGCAGTAAACTACACTAATTGCAGTAATATAGGCTAATTACTGTGCTTTTACTGTCATTTACTGGATATTCCTGTTGCATAGGCAGATTACTTACTGCATGGGATTACTTACTGCAGTAACTAGGGGGCCAACAATGGCAGTAATTGGACAGTAAGGAGCCAGTAACCCGGATTTACTGCAGTAAATACCAACCAAGCCACGTGGTCAACAAAGTGTGAATCGAATCGCACCCTTCTAATTTTAAGTGCAAGGAGCAGGTGAGCGACCTTCATTGGTCAGTCTGGCTCGGGACTTAAAAAAAGAGTCACAAAAGATCCTCTCTCGAGCGGTTCCAAAGCCATGACGCCAAAGCCGTCAAAGAGACTTACTAGCTACCTGGTAGCTAGTTGTTGGCTGTCTTTGGCGTGTGCCGTAGCTTCTACGTGTTTATAATAATATCTGAGGCCGTTCCTAGCTATAGCAAGGATAGATAGATAGAAGTCTGCTCTAGTAGCTAGTCTAGCTAGACAGTTATCTTGAGTTCATCTCATCTCGTTAACCAACAATCGACCCACAAAGATACCCATCAGCTTTGTAGTTTACAATGCACCTCCCGGCAGGAGAAGCGGTGGGTTCCTTGAACAAGACGAAATGGGCCAATACGACCGCCAAGGAGCGTCTCGTCATTCTCGAACAACTCCAAGAACGGCTCACGGAAGAAATGGAAGACTTGGGACAAGAAGAAGCCGAAATGAAAAATATGAAAATTGGAACCACCGATAATCCCTATGCGGCCGATGCCTGTCGATTGACCAGTGTCGTGCCCCTTGCGTTTTGCATCTCGTCGGCCATTGATCTCTACAAGACCAATATTGCCGGAAAACCATTAGGGCCTGTACGAGTCAATAAGGTAGAACCACATTCTGGAGTCGATATGATTGATTTTGGAAACAAAGATGATACTGAAAATGAAGAAGAAGACGATACCCAACAACAACAACAAGAATTTGAACAAGAAGCCGATACCAGTCACTCACAAATCGATGAACTCTTTCCCGACAATAAGAACAACAATACTCAGCAGCAACAAGATGAAGATAACGATAAGGAAGATAATACCAAAGACAAAAAAAAAGATAATGATCAGGAGGATACTACAAAAGAAGATAAAGAAAAGTCAGAACTAATTGTGGAAAATGGAGACGACAACACTGATAACAACAATATACCTCCAGTCACACCCACTGCAGCAGATGCACTTCCACCGGATGAATTGATACCATCCAGTCCACCCGAGCAACAACCTGATGTACCACCACCACCGCCACCTTCGGATTCGCCCGCCAAAATACCAGACAATACACCCCCTGAACCACCTTCTGATCCTCCTCCAGAACCGCCTGCTAATCCACCTCCAGAACCACCTGCTAGTCCTCCTCCAGAACCACCCCAAACTACTCAAGAAGAAGAAGCTGCAGAAAAGGACGGTGAAGCGGATCAGTCGACGACAGAGGAAATTAATGGAGACGACAAGCAACACGATAATGCTGATACGACCAAAGAAAATGGAACTGGAAATGACGACACGGTTCCTAGTACTACCGAGGAACCAGACACCACTACAACCATTAACGACGAAAAAAATGACAAGGATGCCACTGTGGAGAATGGTGACACGGCGGAGACCGAGCCGCCACCATCGTCCACGGAAGCAACAACTACGACTACCAATGACGAAGTAGAAGAGGGCAAAAAGATCAAAATCATGTTTGAAGAAGGAGATGAATTCGCCATGCTCGACCCAGATGGAAAACCACCTGCTGTCTTTCACGATGCATTGATATCACCAAGAACATGGAACGAAAAGGGATACTTCAACTCACGCCAAGAACGATTGAGGTTCCGAATCATACAACAACCACCACAAGACGAAGCAGAAGCTGTCGAACGAGATCCCAACAATGAAGATGGACGGGTTGGACCCTACGATCGAAGAGATCCAAAAGCCACGGCCATTTTGGGGGCCAGTTGTTACAGTGCCGCCCCCGAAATTATCAAAGCAACCTTTTTCGATGGACACGTCGTCGTGTACAAGCCACATCCCTACAATGTCGATGTCGATCGCATCTGGGCGGAAGTTTTGAAACCATTGGTCGAAATTGGTGCCGTCAGTTATTGCAAAGCCGATGAAGGACCCGAATTGGTGAAAGATCCACGGATTGATCAAATCTACATGACGGGGACGGCCGAAACGGGACGGGAGGTCCTGCAAGCCGCCAACAGTAGTGACACGACCAACAATAAGAAGAAAACCTGCGTCTTGCAAACGGGAAGTGTCAATCCTGTCATTCTTGTACCCGGACTCAATCGACAATGGAAAGCCAAAGAAATGAGACATCATGCACTGCAGATTGCATCGGCCGGGAAATTCAATGGAGGACACTTTTGTGGACGACCACAGGTGATCGTCACCAGCAAGAGCTGGGACCAACGGGAAGCCTTTCTGGAAGAACTCGAAAAGGCCATTGCCGAACGAACACCACCGGAAGGTTCCTACGATCCAAAGTACCGTCGAGAATTCAATCGGTTTGTGCGAGAGTATCCCGAAAACTCCAAGATCATCGAAGCCGAAGGACTCACCACAGATTCTGCTCGGGTCTTGTTGGTGACCGGTGCTGCTGAAGATAGTTACGGACTTCAGCACGAAGCGTTTTGTCAGGTACTGATCGAAGTCGCCTTGGACATTCCCGATCATCCTGTAGCCTACCTGCCGGAAGCTGTCAAGTTTTGCAATGAAAAGTTATATGGATCCCTCTGTGCCACCATTGTGGTAGATGACGTTGTCAACAAAAAATACAGTGGCATCGTGCACCAAGCTTTGACGGATTTAAATTATGGAACGGTTGCTACCAATGCCATGGCATGTTTTGCTTGGTTCAACCCTGGTATGTACTGGGGAAACTACAAATTCGATGACGACGACGAAGAGTGCGAGGCGAAAGGTGTGGGCCACTTTGGAAACCTCATGGGCTATCACGAGAGTGCCGTCAAGTCGGTGATTACGGATTGTTTCACTGGCAACGGTCATTGGATCAAGACCTGCCGAGGTGCTTATGCCGAAAAGATTGCTTCTCTTTCCCACTATGCCTTGGAACCTTCATGGAAGAAAGTCTCGGCGTATAAGTACAAAGGAGTGCGAGCAGCTGCAGCTAGAAAGGATTGGTAGTGTGCTTGCTACATGAAGCTAGCAAGCGCTGTAGATAGCTAGCAGTATGCCAGTCGGATACCAATAGCTATACGAATACAGCATTTTAAGAAACAATCAAACCTACACCAGTGCGTATGCTAGTTGAACTGGTTAGTTTTAACTAAGTCTTCTGTAGTTTCTGGAAGGATCATGCTAAACCAGCTGGCCCGTTTGGTAGCTTTGCCTTTGCTTGGGTCGCATGCGTTCAAGGAGCAGATCCGCCCACTCCGGTCCGTCGCAGTCTCGTATAAAGAGATAAATGTCCTCAATAGCCGAGTTGGCCAAGGCGAGCACACTGATAAATTTCAAGCAATAAAGCGAACAGTGTGAGTTGCACGTGAAGCAAAATACCAGAAAGATCGACGATCGCAAGCTCGTTGCTTGTCACTCACTTGAAATCATTGTCATCTTCACCGAATGGATTGTCAAGTTCAATGGCGACCACCTCCAAACCGAAGAATCCGTAGGTCAAGAGGAAAACGGTGAAGCAGTGGGCAAAGGTACTACTCTCGTCCGAGACCAGAACAAAGGGAACCGTGAAGATGTAAAGGAAAAGGAATGTTCGCGCCATTTGAATGAGAGGGAAGGGTACGGGAGTCGTCATGAACTTTCGAATGCCATAGAATCCATTCATAAATCCATCTACTGCACTCATAATTTTCAATTCTCTCGAGATATGAAGGGGTTTGCCGAGTCGATGTTCTTGACCATGAATGCTCTTGCGCAGCATGTACGCGAGACGGATTGGTACTCGCAAGTTTTCTTCGTATTCGGATCGAACTTCATGGGCGTAACGCAAGGTTGCTGGGTTCAAGAAGATGTTACCCTTGATATCATCCTTTTCCACGCCATTAAGCTCTGGGATGTCCCAGGATGGAATCTTTGTTGTTGGGTATGAAATAACGGCGACAGTGCAACGGACGAGTGCCAGAGTTCGATAAGTCACTTCATTCCGCCATTCCTTGGCTGCCGCATCGTCGTTTTCGACGCCCGTGTAGACGGTAGCATACTGGATCAATTCGCCTAAGAACAAAAAGAAGCAGAGGTACATGTATCAGAAATCAAATCAAACTAATATATCGAGTCCAGGATACCTCCCTCATCACATGATTCACTTACGAGCTCCTCGCAACATGGATCCGATATGCGTCCTTGCTTCGCCGTATCTGGCCAGTGCCATGGTCACTCGCGAGACCAATAAGAAGGACATGACGAGGGTCACAAAGTTATGTCCTTGATCCGAGATTTCAAAGGCATCTATCCCATCAAACTTGAAATATGTCAATGCGAGCATCAGGCAGACATTCAAAACACAATAAGGGAACACTCGTGGCCAGGACGACCCTTTCATTTGGGTGATAACGGACCAGTGGTTCTCCGAGTTGTAGAGGACCGTGTAGGCCCGAGGCTGCGCCTTGCTCTTGTTGGCGGCTCGACGTGGGGACATGGTGTTCCGTCAAGATTTTCAAGTTTACTCGATCGATTGGCTACTCTGGCTAGCTAGCTAGAGATGGCTCTTGGGTCAATTCAGAAAAAAGAGACAGAGAGACAGAGCTTATCGTGGGTTGTTATTAGTGGACCAGCACAAGTGTTTTGGTGCTGATGATGCTTTGGTCAAGTATTCCGGATATCTTTGATCTTCCGTCTGGTGATTTGGGGGAAGGGTTGGACAGTTCTGTTGAAGATTTAGCGTTACTTTTCATACTAAATCTATATGATCCTTTTATTAACTCTTTTCGTGCACGATCTGACGGTACCTGGTACCGTACATGTACCAGTTGTTCCTACCGTACAAGCTAGCTAGCTAGCTAGTACTACTAGTAGCTAATAGGAGTTCTTGTAGCGCTCTACCTAGTATGGTAGTAGCTATTCTAGACCAGTCTACTGCCAGAGCTTAGGCATCCACACGGGTACCTTACGGTACCGGTACTACATGTAGTACCGGTATGGCCGAGCAACCTGTTGCCAGCCAAGCCAGGGGTAGCTCGGTTGCACCTACATCATGAAGGACCATGATAGAGCAAAGGAGCTGCATCCAGGCACTGTGTAGCTTTGGAAAAGCCAAAACACCAGTCTGGGTGCATGAATACCGCTATTTAAAAATATTTCCTTTGCCATCAGACACGCTGGATTCGATTCCATAGTCTCCAAAACTCCAGCCAATCTCTCCTCACCTTTCCCAAAACCAACAGAGCTAAACCAACAAACCAAAATAGTCGAACAAACATGCTGACCATTTGATCATGCATTTTATGCAGTTAGAAAATGTAATTCGTAAATATAAATGCTCCAGCAGCTCCATACATACTGCTCCAGAGCGACTTGCAAAAGGATCTACGTCATCCTTCTCCATCGCCATCATACAAAATAGATGTGTACCAATGCAATTCAAGGATATGATTGGGATCTGTTGTCAGAAACGCTCCACCGTGGCGCTCAGTCTCTTACTCCTTCTTGGATAATCGATTGGCGGCAATGTTGGCCAATTTCCCCGCCATGGCCTCATCAAACCGTACAAACTGAAACTGGAGGAGTGCCTGACGCTCTTCCCCCTTGAATTTGACATCCAAATTGGCTTCAAAACTGACGCATTGATAATGTCCCACGTAATGACAGGGCGCTCCTCCTAACTTTGGTGGAGTGGCAAAGAAAATGGGAACCTCCTTGTTGGCGTTATCCGACTTTGCCGGATCCAAGATGGACGCCGTGCGCAATCTTTGCTTTCCCTTTCCCAACCACCATTTCAGGAGATGCTGGGAACTGTAGGGACACTGGTTCCATTTTTGATTGAGGGTAATGTGTGAGACTCTGGATCCATTTTTGGAGAGAACGGCCATGCCAAATTGCGTGGTCAATCCGAGGGATTCCAAATGCTGATTGAGAATGGTTCGTGTGAGCCCCACGGATCGTGGCACTTGACTTTGTTCGAGTTTTCCATTGTAGTCGTCTGGTCCGTCCGTATCGTGAATCACGAGCGTGCTGCTACTACGTATCGTCGAACTGGTTGTTTCGGGTTGATGGTTTTCCTTATTGTTGATGTAATGGTGGTCTTCCTCAGCAGCGGTAAAAGACGAAATAGTGGTGGTGGGCGCTGCAAGTGCCATGGTGCAATCCAAAGAATCATCCTTGTTGTTGTTTTCGACCACGTTGGTGGATTCCAAGGCAGAATCCGTATTTTCCTCTGTATCAGGAGGTGTGCTACCGGTAGCAGTGTCTGATTGATGGTCGGTCGTGTGGGATGTGCCTGTGTTAGCGGCCGTGTTTTCCACGGAGATATCCGTGGAATCAACATCGCTGTGTTCCATCATGGTGTTTGGTTCCGTGGTAGCAGCGGCAAGAGGGGGGCCTTCTGTGGAGGAATCGGAAAAATGGATATCCTTGTGTTCGGCCATGTTGGTTGTTTCCGAGGTAGAATCCGTATTTGTACTAGTTTCCTCTTCATCAGGAGGTGTGCTAGCAGTGTCTGATTGCTGGTGAGTCATGTTGGTTGTGTCGGTGTTAGCGGGCGTGATGTTTGTACAATTTTCCTCTGTCTCAGGAGGTTCGCTAGCAGCGCCTGATTGCTGGTCTGTTGTGTTGGTTGTTTCAGTGTTCGCGGGCGTGGTATTTGTACTCGTTTCCTCTGTACCAGGAGGTGTGCTAACAGTGACTGGTTGCTGGTCGGTCATGTTGGTTATTGTTTCAGTGTTCGTGGGAGCCGTGTTTTCCACGGACCGATCCGTGGAATCATCATTGCTGTGTTCCGTCATGTTGTTTGGTTCTGTGGTAGCGGCGACGAGAGGGGTGCCTTCTGTGGAGGAATCGGAAAAATGGTTATCCTTGTTTTCGGCCATATTGGAAATTTCAGAGGTATCATCTGCACTTGTACTGTCTTCCACCGAAGCAGGAGGTTCGCTGGCAGTGTCTACTGATGGGTGGTCAGTGGAAATCCTGGGCCGTTTGTTGGGAATATTTGTCTGGGTCGCTTCGTCTTGACAAAGTCGCCTAGTAGTGCCAGTAGTGCCAGTAGCAGCAGTGCCAGCAGCCATGGTGGTTGACTCTTGAGTAGCGTTGTTGCTATTGTGGTTTGTCAGATCTGTGGGATCGTTGCCATTTGGATTTGGATGGGTAGCAGCCTCATGATTCATGATGTGCGTCGCTGTACGGGTGGGAGGTCCCTGGTCAACACACTGGTTGACGTAATCACTGAATCCTTCGGCATAAACGTCTAGATCCATATTGTTGTTGTTTTGGTTGTTGTTGTTGTTGCTATTAGCTGGACGACAGTGATTGCTGCTGGGCGAGATGACGACACTCGGACGCCCGGGATGTTGATCTTGCTTTTTGCCTTCCTGGACGAGATTGACATAGTGGGTCAAATTGGCGGCAAAGTTGGCCACTAGAGTCAGCGTATTGGTCCCCATCATGGAAGCTCGAATGGCCACACTGGCTGGATCCAAATTCAGCAAGGCATGCACGTCATCGTTGCACGTCGAAACGCGGCGGCGAGCCACACTCGGGGTTCTTGTGGTGCTTGTTGTGCCAAACGACGCGCTCGTCGTCACGGGTGGAGATACATCCTCTTCTTCTTCCACCTTGATGTAGGGTAGCTTCGTATCTACATGTACCTCCATACTATCTTAATTAGTTCTTGATCTTTTGTGAAACCTCAACTCAGTCGAACTGATGAGAACGACAGGGGGCGAGACGGATCAGGATTTGGAGGGAGCAGCAAAGCTGCTTTCCCGCTCAAAGGAAGGCTGGCTGGACTGTGATTCGATTGAATCCTTCGAAAACTCAGTCACGTTCATCGATCAAAACCCAACCGTATACCTTTCTTCCATGTTCACGTTCCGCTCCGACTGTCGACAGGTCCAGGTGTGAGAATCTGCAAGCAAGTCGATTCCAATGCTCGTCAAGACAAAAGACGACCAGCAATACGGCATTATCAAGGGTACTGTCAAACAGGGCAAGACTGTGGCCTACCCGGGCCAATGCTACCGTACCACTCTTTCCCTGGCTGCCACGGTGGGACCTTGGATTCGAAAATGGACACTCATGAGGACCTTATTATGCCAGCGAATGCCAACCTACGAGTGTATAGTGCCGTCTTGGTTTGGTTACGGTTAGACAAAAAGACGGGAGGACATTGCCCAACTACGACAGCAGCTACTCGAACACGCACAGGAATACGAGAGGTGCCCGAGAAACTAGACGAGGATAATGATTGGGGAGGAACGACACATGGATACCATTACCATTCATTCAGCTCAAGGCTCTACTTTGGCTTCTCGTTCGGCGCCATGAGAGTGGTGCCTCCCGTCATCACCAAGCGATTTGATTTGATATCCGCACCAAAACAATCCCGCATCCTGCTTGATAGCAACTCTCCAAAAAGCGCTGGTTCCGACCTACGGTATCCTCGCAGTCGCCGCTACAAATGAGAGATTCTGACAGCTTTTTGAAAAGAATGTGCAATGACTAGATTAATAATATTAAAAGATACAACAGTATCAGAAGCGAGGCCAGTGCAGAGACACTCAAAAAGCTGCCTAAAATGCCCCTGCTTCGGCAAGCTCCAAATCTTCAGCAGCCATGACATCATAGACACACTGGTCCTTCAAGGCACCCCAGTGTTCACAAACTTTCTCTGCAGCTTCCATGGAAATGGTGGATTCACCCAGACGGCGGCGTCCTTCTCTTTCAGGGCCAGGCATACTGCATTTCACTGGGTGCTGGGGGAATCTGTTTGCCTGGAAGAGCTTGGGTTCGGTATCAAGAACTTGCCATTCATTGCCAAACGCATCAGCATCTGTCATGACAGTTCCATTTCGGGACAGCAACTTGCCAGTTCCAAACTCTCCCGAGAGACCCTGGCTGCCATGGTACTCGTCAAAGCTAGCACCCACAGTCTTGACACTGACCAGGTCCTTGAAAGATTGAATAACAATCTGCTTTCCCTCTCCAAGCTCAACAGTGAAGATGTGTTGCTTGGAGTTGACCTTCTCGTGGGTGACAGGGTAATCTTTTCAAGCTCGACATTGGAGACGCCATCCAACATGTAGTTACCATATTCACCAACCTCCAAGACACTGTCTCCAATTTGAACAGCAGCAGACTCAATGAAAGAGTACTGGTAGCGAGCCTTGGTTCGAATGTGGATCGCCAATCCAGTTCCATGTCCAAACTTGGGGCTGTCGATAAAGACCAAGTCACATTCTCCATGGAAATCAAACCACTCTCCAACCCAAGTCTTGAAGTGAGGGTCGCCTGTGCCAGCTCCATCAGAACAAGGTGTGAGGGTCACAGACCATGACACAAGTGTTCCTGTGTCAGCACCATCATCATCATTGATGACAAGTGACCAGTAACCTGTGGAAGGGTATCCGTTGAATCTAGAGAGAGGCTCTTCTGGTTTTGTATCAATGCCTGGAGTATCACAGACAGGATGACTATTAATCCAATCATCGGATACAGCACCATCAATTTCATTATCGCTTTGATCATCAAAAATGACCTTAAGGTCGTTACTGTCGCCACAATCATCGTGTGTCAGTTCAATGAGAGGATCAGCCATTCCCATTGGTGCATCAAGGCTGAGGTCAATGTCCAAGTCATTACTCCAAGTGTGTAAGATGTGTACCTCAACATCAACATCAGATATCGTAAAGGAAGCATCCACGAAAATGTTAGAGACGGTTGGTCCTAAGGTTGTTGCGAGCTCCTGACTGAGTAAATAAATACTGTGCCGTAATAGCAGCCGTTAAATGGCATTATTTTCGGGAGAGGCGGGAGTACGACTGTAGGAAGGCTTCCGTGCGACTGTAAGTCTGTACCGGTACTGGAGCGGTACTTTTAAAAAACGAGAATACTAGTAATAAATTGTTCGTAGAAATTGACTTCCTGTAGACCTCAGTAGAAAGCCTAAGTAAGTGTAGCAGCGTTGAAATCAATTTCTATTCCTAATAATATAATCATGAAAATCGAGCTATAGCATTGATAGTTTGGGTGGGAATTCCACTATCTACTGTACTTAGTAGGGTCCGCTGTACGGTTTGTGTGAAAATGAGTTCAATATTTTACTTTGGCTGGTAATTTTCGATTGGATTACATTGGATTGCATTGGATTGGATTGGATTGGATTGGATTGAATTGGTACTTACTATATAAATAACAGTGCTTTATTGCAATTGAATCCAATCCAATCCAATCCAATCCAATTCAAACGAATCCAATCCAATTGAACTTTTATTTCGGACAAAATGATAATTATTGTTTCAACTGACGTGTTAGGTTGGTATTCAAGTCACTGTAACTTTAACAGTGGCAGCATTGTAGAAACCAATGCAATGTAGGGCAATGAGCAAGTTGGCTCATCCCCTTTCGATTTTATACTTTAGATTCAGTCTTGTATTTGGGTTTCGGCTTGATTTTACTAGTTAATTACCATAGTAATTTGGTTTCGGTTTTATATTCTGGTTTCGGTTTTATATTTATGTTTTGATTTTATATTTAGGTTTCAATTTGGTAAAATCGTGATTTCCGGCCCTTTCGAGGTCATGCCCCGATTTCTGTGTCACAGAATCAAGTACCCACACTACGGATTCGAGAATAATTGTCCCTGTGTCACAGAAATTGCACCGCCATAGCACAGAAATTGGTCTCATGTAGACCTCAGTAGAAAGACTACGGAGCGGAAATCAATTTCTGTGTCACGAAAACCAACAGTTTCACCGGACTAGTTAGTCGTGCACAATTTCTGCTTCCTTAGTTCGTTTCCTCCATTTTACTTAGAGGTCATGCCCCGATTCTGTGACATGAAAATGTTTGCCCATAAGCACAAAACCGGTGTTCTCATTCTGGAGTCAATTCTTTTCGAATCCATACAGTCAACACTCACTAAAGTTCCACCCCCCAGCATTAAGAAAAAAACGGAACTTAGCTGAATTACGGAACTTTAGATCTTTGGAGCCCCATATCGGCCCGTTCGTGGTCTTAGGACCCACTTGGGGTGGTTCCTGTCATATTCTATTGTTATTGGGGGTAAAAGGAACCAATCTTTCATAGGGTGGAACCACATCGCTTCTACATATAGTGTCTCTATTGTCGACTAGTTGTGTTACTACTAGCAAATGCTAGTAAAACGTGCTCTTTAGGCTTTGTCGAGTACCTGAGGGTGTCTGGCATGAAAGAGAAAGTTGAACTAACTTTTCATATGTATAAATGAGATTCCTAAAAAGGTATCACAATGTAATCCCACATAATTCTAAGTAATTCTTAAAGCAAAATGTGACTGTTGTTGCCTCATTTTAAAAAATTCTAACTACCAGCCCAGCCTCAAACAGCCACAAAACTCATTCACCAGTCAGTCATGTTCAGTCATGAGAACTAGTGACTGAGGGGGGGCAGCCCTGAAAAAGTGGAACTTTGTAGAATAACGAAACTTAAAAAAACGGAACTTAAGTGAGTGTTGACTGTAGTAATATTATCACAGAAATCTGTCTTACTGCAAGGTGGTACGGTACCCGTAAAAGTGATTAGTTGAAGGGGCTCCAGAGGGGAGAAGGAGGAGGGTCGATAACTTTTAGGAGCGAGAGCTCTGGATCCTGTCAGAGATAGCTCCAACAGCTATGCTGGCCTACGGCTCCAGCACCCACAGCTGGCTTATCTCCAGCCAAAGCAGCAAGAAAGGATCGTCCTTTCTACCATAGTTAAGAAAATAGTACGAAAGATTGAGACCGATCCTGATTAGCTTGTAGCCCCTTTGATACCGCAGCAGTTGATACCTATCCTGTTGAGGCCGGGCAGAAGCAGTAGGAGGTAGCAGATAGTACTGTTCCCAGACTGCCACTGCACGATTGAATAACGAAGGCCCCCAGCTCCTGAGGAGCTGGCCCAAAAGGCCCAGCAGAGAGCTCTGCTGGCCCTCCTGTTCTGACTGACAGGGCCAAGTCCTTGGTTTGGTGCCTACTGGAGGTGTTGGAACACTCCTGAGGCACGACAAGGCTCCCTGAACTGCCTGACTACCGCTGTCCCTGAGGAAGGGTTTCAGCGAGGTCCAGTCCACTACTTCAGTACTGGAACTGACCCTTCTAGAAACTTACTGGATTAACAGTCGCATAGATTTGCAGGCAGTTCTCTTAAAAGGGAAGAAGAGACCTCCTTGACGAGAAAAGGATCCCTTCGAATTACACTACAATATATTGGATTCATTGGATTTCATTGGAATTTGAAGTGCACTGCGAAGCCTACATTCGAAGTCCTAAGTCAACAACCTTCTGGTCGATTTTGATAGTTCCAGCCACCACGACAGTGACAGGAACCTTTGACTTGACCATACACCAATCTACAACTCTAACAGACATCCCATTGTCATTGCTGAAAGGACCTACAAAAGCAACAACCTCATTGCCGAAGCTACCATACTTGCACCTTGCACGGAAGAGAGGAAAAGCACCCAATTCACTCGAAAGAAGAAGGGGTTACGGTCGTACCGTGAAGGAACACCTGGAGTCTCCGAGTGAACGAAAGACTTATTGATTTCGCACCGCTCTGGCTACTGAGACCATATCTTTTACGGTGAAAACGCAATTTCTGTTTATTACCGCAATCAACCGATATCTCTTTGGTGTAC